AGCTGACAATTTCGAGTTCGGCAGGGTGAATTGTGCGCCATAGAGTCTCCTTTTTTAAAAAGTATTCGGATGCACCCCCCCTTCCCCGGGGTTAACCAGCCTCCTTTTCGTATTTCAATTTTCATATGATTTTGCCCCATCGTCCGTTCTAAATTTGAATTCGTACCATCCCAGGCAGGCCGGTATCGCCCCCCCTCATCCTTTGCAAAAATAGCATTGCGCTCGCGCTCTCGTTTATCGAAAAATCAGCAGTTTACAGGAATCACTTGCAACAAATGGGACGAAGTGCGCGCGCGCGCGTCGTCGCGCGCGCGCGCGTGCTGGCATCGTTCAAAAACCGGAGGTTTTGCGAGGATTTCAAACTGGAGGGTCGCGACACATGTAAAAACGCATGGTTTCGCCACGGGGGTTTTCAAGCAAATCCCGCGTCCGCGCTCTTGCATTCTTTTCATTGTTCCCAAGAGTGCCACCAAACGGGCCTCCCGCGCGCGCGCGTCGAAATCATTCGCGCGCCCTTGCGCGCGTGCTGTCGCGGGAATCCTTTGCAACAAATGGGAGTCAGTGCAGGCGCGCGCGACGTTGCGCGCGCGTGCCGAAATCGTTCAAGAACCCTTGGTTCCGCAAAGATGTCAGACAAGTGCGCCCCGGAGAACGCGGGGACCGTCGCTTCAAAACGAGGACCCAACAACTCAGGGTGGTTGGGGAAAGAAAGGGGCGGCGGGCGCGCGCGCGTGCGTCGTCGTGGGCGCATGCCGACATTTTTCAAAAACCTTAGGTTCCGTGCGTATTTCAAAATCGAATGCCCCGAAGCCATATCAAAAGCAAATGGTTTCGCAATACGAATTTTGAAAAGCAGTTTGCGCTCGCGCAAGAAAGCCATGGGTTTTAGAATCTTCTCATAAGATCCTACCGAAAGGGACCTGTCGCGCGCGCGCGTGTGTTGGAATCTTTCGAACGCCCTTGCGCGCGTGCTGTTGCAAGAACCCCTTGCGAGACATTGGGCGAAGTGCACGCGCGCGTCGTCGCGCGCGCACGCCGAAAGCCTTCAGCAACCTTGGGTTTCGATGGGTTTTCAAAATCGAGTGCCCCGAAAACGAATAAACATTCATGGCTAGCAACATCAGTTTTGAAATAATTCCCGCGCTCGCGGGCCTTTCGCGCCGCGTGTCGCTATCATTCGAATGCCCTTGCGCGCGTGCTGTAGGGGGTGGGGCGGGGGGTGCGTTCCGCGTCGAATGATTTTCGCGCGGGCCACTCTCGCGCGTCGGCCGCGCGCGCATGTCGAACGCTTTTCGAAACCATCATCGCGACGCGAGGGCGCCGTCATTGTCGTCGGCGTGATCAGCATCGGCGCCGTCGCTGGCCGTGCCGCCGCCGCCGTCATCATTGTCGCCAGCGTCGCTGCTACCATCGTCGTGTCTGACGCTGTCGACGTTGCCATGATGCCGCGCCCCCCCCAGGTAGCCAACTCGCAGCGAAGTGCCCGCTGGGATGTATGCGCGGGCTCGCGCGGCCGCGGAGATGCACCAGCCACCGCCGAGCACTCGTCGGTGTCGCCGCCGCGTGGGCTTAGCAAAGCTGCGGGTGGGTGGGTGGGATGACTGCGCGAGCTGTGGAGTTGACAATTGCGAGTTCCACAAGTGAATTCTCCATTCCCAGAGAGAAGTAGGACCCCCCCCCTGGGGTTGACGGTTCACCTTTTCGTTTTGGAATTTACATGTGATTCTGCCCCATCGTCCATCCTAAATATGAGTTCGTACCATCCCAGGCGATCCCGGCATCGATCTCCTCCCCCTCGTCCCTGTCGAATTATCTACGTATATACGTGTATATGTATATGTATATGTATATATATATATATTATTATATATGCGCGCTTGTTTATCAAGCATCATCAGTTTCCAAGAACCCCTCGCCACAAAAGGGGCGAACATACGAGAGCGCGTGCCGAAACCCTTCGACAGTTTTCGGCTTCGCAGGGGTTTCAAAAACGAGAGTCCCGAACATATGAAAATACATGGTCTCGCAGCGAGGGTTTTCAAACAAGCGTGCGCTCGCGCTGTTTCGATTTCTGGGGGAAATCATAGGTTTCTCAAACATGTGCATGCCGTGCTGCCAAACCAGCTTCGCGCGCGCATGTCGGAATCGTTCGAACGCCGCTGCGCCCTTGCTGTCGCGAGAATCCCCTGCGTCGCACGGAGCGAAGTGCACGCGCGCGCGTCGTCGCGCGCATGCCAAAGTCCTTCAACAAATCAAATGTTTTGCAGAAGGGTTTTGAACACGAATGCCCGAAAACATATGAAAACACAGGGTTTCGCAACATCAGTTTCCAAGACAGCCTGCGCTCGCGCCCTTGCGAATTCTCAAGGGAACCATAAGTTTTCAACATTATCATTGCGGTCGGTCTGACGGGCCACTCGCGCCGCATGTCGATATCATTCGAATGCCCTTGCGCGCGTGCTGGGAGGGGGCACGCTCGGCGTCAGATAATTCCATGCGGGCCGCTCTCGTGCGTCGACCGCGCGCGCCTGTCGAACTCCTTCGAAAACCTTCTTCGCCGACGCGAGGACGCCGTCGTCGTCGTCGTCGTCGGCGTGATCAGCGTCGGCGCCGTCGCTGGCCGTGCCGTCGTCGCTGTCACCATCGTCGTCAGCATCGCTACTGTCATCGTCGTGTCTGACGCTGTCGACGTTGCCATGATGCCGCGCCCCCCCGGGTAGCCGTCATCGTCGTCGGCGTCGTCATCACCGACGCGGGGGCGCCGTCATCGTCGTCGGCGTGATCTGTATCGGCGCTGTCATTGGCCTTGCCGTCGTCGTTGTCAGCATCGGCACCAGCATCGCTACCATCTATATCGTTTCTACCGTTGTCGACGTTGCCATGATACCGAGGCCGCCTAAGTCGCCGACTCGCAGAAGTGCCTGCTGGGATACGCCCAGCGGCCAGCGCCACCGCGGCCGCGTCGGTCGGGCCAAACTAGCCAGCCGGTGCGTGCGCGAGCATGCGCGGGCTAGCGCGGCCGCAGAGATGCACTAGGCAATCCAAGCTTTCATCGCAATCACCGCCGCATGCGTTTTGAAACCAAGTTGCGGGTCGGTGAGCCGGATGTTTGCGCGATCGGTGGAGTGGACCCCTCACTGCGAACAAAAACTAATTGCACCACACCGATGGAACAAATTAGACTGCACCACGTAGCTTGCGCAGCATATATTGCACCACATACATCGCACCACGTGTATCGTACAACATATTTATATATATATATATAGATATACTCTGCCGTTACTAAGAGCTTTTGAGCATTCTTGCAAGTCCCAAGGCCGGACCTGTGGCCAGCGCGCCCTCGGGCAAAATTGAACGACGGACATATGCCCATGCAGATCTGAAGCCGCTCACCCTCGTAAAACACAGGCGGAGTAAGTTTCGGAGGACGCGGAGTATGTTTTCTTCAGCTAAAACACAACGCGGGGTAAGTTCAACAAGAACGCGGAGTAAGTTAATCCACGTTTGTATACCGTAATCAATCTATAGTACTAGGGAGAAACGGTGTGGGCGGGATCCGAAACCTACTCCGCGACAGGCGGATGCCATGTTGTAGGATTCTATGGGGGGAGGGGGGGTCCGTCGACGAAATGGTCAAAACTTTGGTAACGGCATTGTATATACATATGTTGTGCCACGTAGAGCGCACATCATATTTTGCACCACAGATCTTGTACGACATATATATGTGTGTATATATATAGATAGATCGCATTCTATATGTACATATGTTTATACATATACATAGCTCACAACCCAGATTGCACCACGCTGATTGCACATGGTATAGTGCTAGGCGGACATTGTCAGGGGTCCACGCTGGCTAAAGTTTTGAATGGGAACCGCTCTCCACTCGCGAAGCGGAGAGGTGTTCCGAAGATGAATGTGCACAGCGCTGAGACGAGAGCCCCCTTTTGAAACATGATTACCCTCAACGAGTATAGTTGTTAAAAATGGAAAGGCGAGTGTGCGAGGTGGTATGGCGATCGCCACAGTTTGAGCACGATTCTCTTCCGTGCACTTCCGAGTAGTTGCTGGAAGAATTTACGACGATTGTGCATGTCGCGATGGTGAGAACCACGTTTCGAAAACGACAGCCGCCATCCGTGCGGCTGTTAGCACGACTGTGCGTGGTGCTAAGGCGAGGGCCACGTGTTGAACAACACGTGCGCTGTTACAAGCTTTCAAGACAGATGTGCGTGGCGGTAATGCGAGCGCAAAGTTTCGACCCCCCTCCGTCTGTGTGAATGTGTGACGGTTTTTATGACGGATACGCGCCGCACCAAGGCACGCTTATCATTCTGAATACGACCTCCTTCCATCCGTGCAAGTGCTGGGGACTGAGTTGTTCTTGTGCGCCCGTGTTGAAACGCAACACGTACCGTGTTCAACACCTCCGTGTTAACACGTTGCGTGCTGGTTTGGCACGTGTTGACCCACGTAATGGCGAACGTATCGCGCCAAACTTACGTATTCAGTCTATGTGTTGAGCTCCGTGTCGACACGCTACGGGCTGCGTGTTGCGTATTGGGGGGGGGGCTAAGGCTGGGAACTTCAAGTTCCAGGGACGTGCGAAGGACGTCTTAGGCGAAACGCACGGCCCGCCCTACCGACTCGAGCGGCGCTCAGGCGATGGGGAGGTATCTGCGAGGGGAAGGAATGGAGGAAGAACGGGAGGAAGAGCGGGAGTAGGAAAAGGTGAGGGTGGATGAGGATGAGGAGGAGAAGGAGGAGGAGGAGGAGGAAGAGGAGGAGGAGGAGGAGGAGGAGAAGGAGGAGGAGGAGGAGAGGGGAGGAGGAGGGGAGGAGGAGGAAGGAGGAGGAGGAGGAGGAGGAGGGAGAGGAGGAGGAGGAGGAGGAGGGGAGGAGGAGGAGAGGAGGAGGAGGAGGAGGCCCTCCCCCTGCCCCCCTTCCCCCCCCCCCCCCCTCCTCCCCCGCTCCCCGTCTCGGCGGCCAAGGGATGGACGCTCCCCAGTGGGAGCTGGCGCACTACGGAAACGGCTCGCTGGCGGGCCCTGCTTGGGGGCGCTGGGATCCTTGGACCTCCTGCGTGTCGCTTTCGCCGCCGTCGTCAGGGGGGAGCGGGTGGTGATGGCGTAGCAGCGGAGGACGTTTGGGGCGGAGGGTGGGGGGAGGCGGACCGGGATGATGCTGTTGATGTTGGTGGTGATGATGACGACGATGATGATGATGATGATGATGATGATGATGATGTTGACAATGATGCTGATGCTGATGATGATGTTGTTGATGATGATGATGACAGTTATGAGGATGACCATGATGATGCTTCCTACGGCAACGATGTTGGTGCTGATGTTGGTGTTGATGTTGATGTTTATGTTGATGTTGACGATGTTGGTGATGATGATGATGACGATGATGATGATGATGATGATGATGATGATGACGATGCTGATGATGATGATGCTGATGGCGATGGTGATGATGATGATTATGATGATGATGATGAGGATGACGACGACGGCGATGATGATGGTGATGATGATGATGATGAGGATGATGATGATGATGATGATGATGGTGATGGTGATGATGATGATTGTGGTGTTGACGACGACGAGGATGATGCCGATGATGATGATCATGATGATGGTGAGTAGGAGGAGGAGAAAGGGGAGGAGGAGAAGGAGGAGGAGGAGGAGAAGGAGGACGTGGACCGCGATGGTGGTGGTAGTGATGATGTCGAAGATGATGGTGGAGGTGATGATCATGCCGACGATGATGACGATGCTCATGGGGTTTGTGGTGATTTCGATGAGGACGACGATGATGCCGATTAGGATTGGGTTAACGACGATGAGGATGATGATATGATGATGATGTGATGATAGAGATGACGATGGTGGGGATGAGAGTGGTTGTGATGATGATGCTGCTGATGATGATGCTGATGCTGATGCTGATGCTGCTTCTGCTGCTGCTGCTGATGATGATGCTGATGATGATGATGATGATGATGATGATGATGATGATGACAATGACGATGATGATGATAGCGACGGTAATCATGATCATACTGACGATTACTACGACGATGCTGAAGATGACAACACTGATAGCGAAGGTGCTGATGAGTATGAAGATGATGCTGTCATTGATGATGACGATGAGGATGATGAGGATGAGGAGGAGGAGGAGGAGGTGGAGGGTGAGGCTGATGATGAGGATGAGGATGATGATGATGCTAATGACGCTGCTGACGACGACACCGATGAGGATGCTGATGAGAATGATGATGAGGGTGATGATGTCGCTGCTGATGAAGATGATGCCGATTATTATGACGATGGTACTTCTGATGATGCTGATGATGTTACTGAAGGATGAACGATGCATGGTCAATCGTGGGTGATGGTAATGATGATCCTGATGATGCTGATAATGATGGTGATGCTGATGTCGATGATGACGGTGATGATGAGGATAGTAATGCTACTGACCATGATGATGTGATGATGCTGATGGTGATGATGCTGCTGCCGATGATGATGATGCTGATGATGATGATGATGATGATGATGATGCCGATGATGATGATGATGCTGACGATGATGATAATGACGATGCTGATACTGATGATGATGATGCTGCTGCTTAGGATGATGATGGTGACGATGATGATGATGATGATGATGATGATGATGATGATGATGATGATGATGATGCTGGTGATGATGTTGTTGTTCGTGATGCCGATGATGATGATGATGATGACCATGGTGGTGGTGGTGGTGGTGGCGATGATGCTGAGGTTGATGCTGAGGTTGATGCTGAGGATGCTGATGTTGTTGATGATGATGCTGATAATGATGAGGATGATGACGATACTGATAATGACGATGATGAGGATGATGCTGATGCTGATGCTGATGACGATGATGCTGATGGTGCTGCTGATGATGCTGATGATGAGGATGATGAGGATGATTGCGATGCTGCTGGTGATTATGCTGCTGCTGTCGATGATGAAGAAGATGAGGAGGAGGAGCAGGAGGATGTGGAGGGATGCTGATACGGATGCTACTGATCCTGATGATGGTGATGATGATGCTGCTGCTGATGATGCTGATGATGCTGAGGATGCTGCTGATGATGATAATGACCATGATGGTGCTGATGATGATACCGATGATGCTGCTGCTGCTTAGGATGATTATGGTGACGATGATGATGATACTGATGATGATGATGATGATGATGATGATGATGATGTTGTTGTTGTTGTTCATGATGCCGATGATGATGATGATGATGATGATGATGATGATGATGCTGATGCTGATGATGATAATGAGGGTGGTGGCGATGATGCTGAGGTTGATGCTGAGGTTGATGCTGAGGATGCTGATGATGTTGATGATGATGCTGATGATGACGATGATGAGGATGATGCTGATGCTGATGCTGATGACGATGACGCTGATGGTGCTGCTGATGATGCTGATGATGAGGATGATGAGGATGATTGCGATGCTGCTGGTGATTATGCTGCTGCTGTTGATGATGAGGAGGAGGAGGATGTGGAGGGATGCTGATACGGATGCTACTGATCCTGATGATGGTGATGATGACGCTGCTTCTGATGATGCTGATGGTGCTGAGGATGCTGCTGATGATGATAATGACCATGCTGCTGATGATGATGATGATGATGCTGATGTTGTTGATGATGCTGATGATGCTGATGATGATGCTGACTATGCTGATTATGGTGATGGTGATGCTGATGATTACGTGGATGATGATGGTGATGCTGATGATGATGCTGCTGATGATGACGCTGATGATGATGACGATGATGATGCTGATGATGACGCTGATGCTGCTGCTGATGCTGAGGATGCTAATAACCATGATGATGAGAGAGAGCGTGATCCACCGCCGCTTTACTGTGGAAAATTGCCAACCTTTTCCTCCGGAACCCAGGGGTCTCCCCCCCCCCCTCCGAAAATCCCCCCCCCCCCTGCTGGAACCCCCCCCCCCCCCCCCCCCTCCCTCCCGGCAAAACCCCCCCCTCCCCTAACCCCTCCCCCCCCCCCCCCACCCCTCCCCCTCGAAAACCGAGGGGGGTCACTACCGGTTCGAATCCCCCCCCTCCCCCCCCCCCTCCAGATCCGGAAAACCGGGAGGGGTCACTACCGGTTGGAACCCCCCCCCCCCCCCTTCGAAAACCAGAGGGGGGTCACTACCGGTTCGACCCCCTCCCCCACGCACCGCCAGCAAACGACTCCCGGTCCCTACCACCGCTCGCATGGCATCCCCCACTGTTGTTCCCTGCACCACTGTCCTCACCACCATTGCCCCCGCTGGTTCCACCACCGTCCCTATTGTCCCCACCAGAGCCCCCACCACTGTCGCACTGTCCCCACTGTTCCCACAACTGTTCCCACCACGGTTCCACTCTCCCCACTGTCTCCACGGACCCAACCACTGCCTATCCCCACTGTCCCCACTGTCCCACTGACTCCTCCGCTGTCCCACTGAGCTGTCCCACTGTTCCCACCACTGTCCCCACTGTCCCCACCACTGTCCCCACTGTACCTCTGTCCCATTGTCCCACCGCCGTCCTCGCCGACGCCTTTACCAGTGTCCCCACCACCATTGTACCCTCCACTGTCCCAGTGTTTCCACCTCATTCCCACTGTCCCCACACCACTGTCCCCACCACCACCGTTCCCACCACTGTCCACTGTCCCCCCTGTTCCCACCATTGTCCCCACCGCTGTCCCCACCACTACCGTCCCCACCGCTGTCCCACTGTCCCCCCGCTCCACCCCCTCGGTTTTCGAGGGGGGGGGGGGTTCGAACCGGTAGTGAACCCCCCCCTTTTCATGATGAACTGGGGGGGGAGGAGGGGTTCGAACCGGTAGTGACCCCGCCCGGTTTTCCGGAGGGGGGGGGGGGGGAGGGGTTCGAACCGGTAGTGACCACCCCCCCGGTTTTCCGCCAGCAGCGGTAGAACACGCTCTTTCATATGAGAGAGGATGATGTTGATGATGATTATTATTATGATTATATTTATTTCTATGAATATTATTATTATTATTTTTTATGTTGATGATGATTATGATGATGCTGCTGCTGATGATGATGATCATGAGGAAGATGATGATGAGGATGATGACGCTGCTGGTGATGATGATGCTGCTGATGATGATGTTGCTGATGATGCTGCTGATGATGACGATGATGATAATCATGCTGATGATGCTGCTGAGGATGGTAAGATGATGACGATGGTGATGACAATGATGATGATGATGCTTCTGATGATGATGATGATGATGATGATGATGATGATGATGATGATGATGATGATTGGGAGGATGGCGATGATTGTGATGGTGATGATGATGGTGATGATGATGATGATGATGATGATGATGATGATGATGATGATGATGATGATGATGATGATGATGATGATGTTGATGCTGCTGATGATGTTGATGATGACGATGCTGATGATGATGTTGATGATGAGGAGGATCATCATGATGATGATGACGACGATGATGAGGATGAGGGTGAGGACGAGGATGAGGATGAGGAGGATGAGGATGATGATGAGCAAGTCATATCCTCGGAGCTTCTGGGTCCTCCTCCACTGCCCCCCCCTTGGGCGCGTGGCGGCGGCGGCCCGGCCGGGTGCCCTGGCTGCGCGCGCGCGAGGAGTGGGGGCCCGCCCGCTGCGGCCGTCGAGGGCGGCAGGGGCGGCGCTGGCTGCCAGGAGGGGGGGGGCAGTGCAGATAGGGCGCACAGTAAGGGCGACCGACTTTCCAGCATTACCTTCGGCGCTCCGCGCGGATTTCTTGGATCGGCGCCAGGCCGTCCCTGGCGGTGCCTCCAGCGCCGCCCCTGGCGCTCTCCGCGCGCCAGGGGGGGGGGGGGGGGGTCCAGCGCCGATCCGAGAAGCCCGCGCGGACAATGCGGGAGCGGGCGCATAGTAAGGATGAGCGTCTTTCTAAGGTTGCCCTTGCATCCTTGCCGCTTCGGCCCGTCCCTGGTCACTTTCGCTGGCCAGCTCCACTCGAACACGCCAACATGACCCTCCAAGGCCCTTGCATCCTTTCCGTGCATCCTTATTCGGCGACTTGACTGTGAATCATGGGAGCTTCGGCTCGTCTTGGATCGAATGTATGTCGGCGAATGGCGCCCAATGGCGCCAAGCAGCGCTCAATCGCGCTCAACAGCGCCCACTGGCGCCCAAATAGCGTCCAACCAGCACGCAACAGCGACCAGTCGCGCCCAACGCCATGTGAGGGAGACGCTTCATGTCCGCTTTGCACGCGATTGGGCGCGCCATTGGGCGCCATGGGGACGACCAAAAGCTTCGGCGAGTTGCTTTCTAAGGCAGGCATCGCCTTCTCTGCTCGAGGTTCATAGCCAAACTTCCAGGCCCAGGAAACGAACAGCGACCATTCATGCCATACTCATCTGTCGATGCCGCCCCCTGGAGCTGGCTGGGGGTTCTGAGGTGGTCCAGCACTGGTTCCGGCCAGCCATGGGGGAGGGAGGTCAGAGGTTCTGCATTCGGGAAGGTTTTTCTCCCTTTGCGGCCTCAAGGGGGCCGCTTTCGGGCCCCGGGATCGTGAAAAACTGATCTGGGGTGTGAAACAAAACTGCACCAGATGGGCCCCCAGAGCGATTTTGAGCTGATTTGGCCTCATCCTCCTCTCTTGATCGATTTTCTGGGGTCCCAGCCAGTTCAAATCCCCCGGCCGTCTCCCACATGCAACATTCGTCTGTCAATGCCCCCCCTTTTCCCCAAAAAGTTGGCGGGGGCTCAGAGGAGTTGCACTTCGACCGCAGTCTTCCCCGCGCGTGCCGACTCTGAATTTTTTGGCGAGGGGGAGTGCCCATTATTTGCTTCCCTCCACCGTCCGACGAGATGCTTTTTTAGCGGGCCACATGCGAACCCTACCCCTACCCCCCACGATTTTTGAGGGGGAGGGTGGGGTTCACTTTGTTCGAGAGCTCCCGAGCGAAGTGAACCCCACCCTCCCCCTCAGAAATCGTGGGGGGTAGGGGTAGGGTTCGCATGTGGCCCCCTATTTTTCTGATCCCGACGTTGCTCCTTCGTTTCGGCCTCCGAGGCCTGCTGTCGGGCCCCTCTGGAGCACCCGCAACGGCTCCGCGGCGCAAAAGGGCTGCTCCCGGGGAGAGGGGGGGCGGAAGCTCTGGGACCGCGGACCGAGGAGCATATTCTATCGCAGGATGTCTGGGTACTTAGTTCGGGGGCGGCAGAGAGGGGGGCGATGACTAGGGTGGGCTGGATATCATGGCGGGGGCCACGATATTTCCCCAGAGTTCATGGCGCCTCTTCTTCTTCTTCTTCTTCTTCCATTACGTCCCTGGGTCACCCCCTGGGCCGCGCACACGCCGCCAGCCATGATTTTGCGCCCCCCCCTCTTGGACGCCCCCCTCTGGGCCGCCCCCGCTGTTCGTGCGATCTCATCGGGCCGAGCTGACGGGAGCCTCGCCGTCGGTCACTCGAGGACCGGCTGGTGGGCTGCTCTGCGGCCAGGAGCTTCTTGGCGCAGCGTGTCGCGCCCCCCCGCCCCGGCCCGGCGCGCTCTGGCGCGGTGCGCCGGCCACGCAAGCACGCTGACCGCGCCCCGGCCCCCGAGCGCCACGGGTCCGAGCCTCTCCTTGTGATGTTCCAGCCCGCTCTAGCCTGGATCGCGAGAGAGAATCTCGAGCACCCGCAAAAGTGCCGAAGCTCGAGGGTTCTCGCGCGTCGGGCCCTGGGAGACGCTCGCCCGACACTGCTCCGACACTCTTTCGGCACTTTTCCGGGTGCTCGAAATTGCTTCTGGGATGTGGTCCTTAAGTGCGATGGGAGCAACATATCACCACCCACCAAACCACCCCAACCCAACCCGAAGGCTCAGATTTACCCTCGATTTCTAGTGGGGGGGGGTCGGGAAATATCGAAAAAACACATGTGGAACCCTTACCCCCCCCAACCCGAAATTCGGGTCTTCGTGTTGGGTTGGGGTGGCCTGGTAGGTAGTCAACATACGCCTTTCCCGGCCCCCCGGCCCGCGAAGCGGAGCGGCACGCTAATTACCCGCTTGCAGGGTACAGCGTGTTGCCAGGGCCGCCGCCGCGACTCGCCAAGCAAAAGCTCCCGACCGGGTGCCCTCCTCCTCCCAGATTGCGAAGGCCTTGCGGCCGGTGCCGCCGACCCTGAAGGGAGACGGCGATGACGACGGCGACGGCGACGACGACGACGACGACGAGGACGACGAGGACGACGACGATGATGCCCTCATCTTCCAAGATTTATGGAGCTTGGCAGTCTCGGGGTACTGACGGCCCAGGCCTGCAGCAGGGCCCGAGCGAGAGCTCCAGGCACCCGAGCTCTGGGCACTCGAGGAGCAAAGGACAACACGGGCACAGACTTCCGAAGGTCGCGCGCCTGGTGCGCG